GACCTTGGAACTCATCCTCTCCAACCTGCCAGAGACTGGCAAGAATAGGCCAAGTTCAGGCATGGAGGTAAGCAGGTATACCAGCTATAACAGAAGTTGCAACTGCTTATCACAGGGCTGAGAAGGGCCCATGTCAATAGCTTCCTGCCATGCACTGCATTTCTGCACTACCCTTGTGACTGCTTATGGAGTGGTTCTGAAGTCTTATCTCAGTGTTTTCTTCCATCCATAGGGAGGATAATATAATAATGCTTCCCTTTTTTATAGCACCTTTCAACAGTGGTTCTCAAAGCCCTTTCTAAAGCCGGGTATTAGTATCCCCATTTCACAGACTGGGAAAAAGAGGCTTGGAATGGTTAAGTAATTCATCCAGTGTCAAACAGCAAGTCAGTGGAAGAACTAGGAACAGAATCCAATTCTCCCAACTCATAATTCCCTGCTCTAACTGCTAGACATCATTGCCTCCTGAGTACTGCCGCTGCCTTCACTGCTGAAGCCCAGGATGGGGGAAAAGTTATGCAGATACACAGGGGAAAGACAAAAGTTTAGGATCAGCCTAATTGATTAATCTCCTGAATGTGTATCACAGACAGGACGTGTGACATACACCTTTGCTATGGGCAACTGGGAGAATGGGGAATGCCCACCTTTGCATAACGAACCCTCTGCCAAAGACACATTCATTCTAATAAGGAATTAAGTCATCTTCTTTGATACACAAATGGAACCAGGGGCCCACTCCTGCAGCCGACACTCAGGCAAAACTCCCGTTGAAGCTGATGGGAGCTTTGCTCGAGTAACACAGTCAGAATTTGGCCCATGAGAGAAAGCTACATTAGCCGATAAAGACTTAAGCAAGTGTCCTAGAGCCCTTACCGCACATATTAAGCAGAAGTACAGAGATTAATATCTTATTTTTCCCTCTCACTACATTATGGATAGCTTCTCTGTTGTGAAGGTTGAATCTAGCTTTTTTGCTTATATAGCCATTTCCAATCCTAATCACCTCTAGCTTCGCCAAAACTAAAGCAATCCACATGAAACGGCACAAATATTGTCTCACGCCACATTAGAGATTTTATGCAAAGTCAGACACAGAAAAGACAGAGTGTTTCAGAAATAAGAGTTAAAAACATAAGAAGTGAACACTGGTCCCCATTGAAATCAATCGCAAAATACCCATAGACTTAAACAGGGTCAAGATTTCATCCAAGGTGTTTACACTTCTTGAAGAATTTGCTAATCTTTTTTTTTAATAGCTCATAATATTTCAAAAATCACCATATAATAATAATTCCTAGCTCTTATCTATCTATCTATATCTAGCACTTTTCATCAGTAGATCTCAAAAGTATTTTACAAAGGAGGTAAGGATCATTATGCCCATTTTACAGAATGGGAAGCTGCAGCACAGACCTGGGAAGTGACTTGCCCAATGTCATCCAGCAGGCTTCTGGTAGAGTTGGGAACAGAACCCAGATCTCCTGAAGTTGGTGGCCTTCAGAGGACTGGAGCCTTTGACTATTTTCAGAAGGCGAGTGGGTGCATTTCACCAGGCCTCCATGTTGGGAGATGTACCTGTAATTTTAACTGTGAATTTCCTGGCCTTTGGACTGCTTTTTTAATTACAGCATTTTATTAAGGTTTTTTTCCATGAATATATTTCTATGTATTTACAGCCTTAACTCCATCTTAGCCAAATTCATCCCTACTGGAAGTGGGTTACATCAGTGGTGAATTTGACCCAATTATTTTCTCTTTACATAAATACAGTACACTAGGTCTCTTTTTTTTATATAATGCAAGCTCTAGGAGGTAGGTGATAAACTAATATCAGAGAAAATTAACTCATAGCAAAGTATATAAGACTGAGACAGGTAGGAGATGAAGCTACTGCAGTGCATAGATGTGACAGTAATTCATTCCAGCTATTGTATATCTCCAGGGCATACTTGAGAAGGTGGCTTGAGAAATGTGCTCTTGAAAGTTCTCTTTTCCTTTCCACCTTTTTTTAGAAGGGATTCGCCACCATCCTTTATATTCAGGATACATTTATAAATGGTTAATACATAATTAACAGATGTTTTAATACATAGTTAATGAAAGATTACAGATTGTCAGAATCCAATAGGTTGTTTATAACCAGGGCTTACAACCATCTAGAACAGCTTCTACTGATGTGCTTATAACCATCTTCTATAACACATACTGTTTACATCTGTTACAACTTAGAACATCTATTAATCATTTAAAACCCTTTATAAACTACACTGGGGTACATTAATAACTAAAAAGGAACTGCACTAACTGGAGTCTTTTAGGAGTTTGGGATTTTAATGCTACTAAAGTTCCCAGGAAAGTAGGGATGTGATTATAACAGAAAAGGAAACCTGCAGTGATGCCTTAATTAACTAAATTAACAGTTCCCGGATAAGAAACTATCTATTAAAAGTGAATTTTAATAAATACCGCTATTGCTATTTCAGGATCTCCAGCCACTGAATGGTACTGGAGTCTCTCACTAGCAGCTATTTCATCCCACTGGCTGGGATATTTTATAGTACTGGGAAGCAGATTGCGGGCCCAGAGCGGCTTCAGCGGAAGTCAATTGGAATTTAGCCTAAGTAAAGGGTTCAGGACTGCCCTCATAATGCCCACAGGAATATTTTGCTTTCCCAAATGCAACAGACCAACATTCAAAGTATCTGCAGAAGATGATGCTCATGATGCATATATAAATGGTTTACATGTTCCCTTTACATGTACCGTCACTTTGTTCAGGGGATTGGCAATGGGATTTGGGGCATTTCATCTCTGTGTCGCCAGTTCAAACCCATCCCATATTGAAAGCTGCTACCATCTGGATGGTTATTTGGTGGACTATGTGAAAATGAACTTGGTGGTCCCAGACCAGTTTTAGTGGACAGGTGACATGACAACGGGGGTGGGCTAGTTAGCAGTCTCACCGAAGAAGCCAAGAACTGAATGAACCTCTCACAGAAGCTAGAGACGGAAAAGTTCTACAGCATTCGTTCATCTACTCCATCTCCTGGCTAACGCAAGATTGTTCTGCACAGTATATTTTTTAGTCCTTTATCCAAACCACTTTTAAATAATTCAGCTGATGGGGTTGTGACGTTGAACCCTATATGATTTTATGAAAATATGCTAATGAGAGTGAATATAATGTAACTGGAATATGCTTCATGCAAAAGGTCTCTTGTAAGGTATCATTACAAAGCTTATAATCTACTGAGTGTGTTCATCCTATTTGTATGAATGTATCATTCTAGTATCTGAAACTAGAAATATTAAATATAACTCTGATTATGCAAAGTGTGGGCCATTAATGGTGGTTTGGAATCCTGATGGCTCCCATCAACCAGGACAATTGACTGTGGATGGCTCTGTTTGCAGGCAGGCCTTCCTATGAGTCAGGCTGGGAGGAATGAAGGCTTGGGCTCTTACAGTGACATGTGATCATGTCACCTGAACTGGAATCCATCTTTAACCTGGTGTTTTTCCATTGAGAAGGAGGGCTGGGAACCCAGAGGGACAAAGGATTCCCACCTTATGCAAAAGATATATAAGTGGGTGGAACAGAATAAGGGGGCGGGCATCATGAGAAATCCCCTAGCTACCACCTGATCTGGAACAAGGGCTGTACCAGGGGAAAGGATTGTGCCCAGACTAGGAAGGCGTCCAGTCTGTGAAAGAAACTTATTGAAGCATCTCTGAGGGTGAGATTTTATCTGTATTCAGTTTTCTTACTGTATTAGGCATAGACTTGCGGGTTTTATTTTATTTTGTTTGGTAATTCACTTTGTTCTGTCTGTTACTACTTGGAACCATTTAAATCCTACTTTCTGTATTTAATAAAATCACTTTTTACTCATTATTTAACCCAGAGTATGTATTAATACGGGGGGGGGGGAGGGGCGGGGCAAACAGCTGTGCATATCTCTCTATCAGTGTTATAAAGGATAAACAATTTAGGAGTTTACCCTGTAAAAGCTTTATACAGGGTAAAACGGATTTATTTGGGGTTTGGACCCCCCTGGGAGTTGGGCATCTGAGTGTTAAAGACAGGAACACTTCTTAAGCTGCTTTCAGTTAAATCTGCAGCTTTGGGGCACGTGGTTCAGACCCCGGGCCTGTGTTGGAGCAGCCTAGCGCGTCTGGCTCAACAAGACAGGCTGCTGGAGTTCCAGCAGGGGCAGAAGTAGTCTTGGCACATCAGTTGGCAGCCCCAGGGGGTTTCTGTGATCCAACCCATCACAGGGGTCTTCCACCATTTCCCTTGGGAGACTATTCCACAAAAGAATAGATCTCGCCATTAAGAAGTTTCCCTGATATTCAACTTTCATTCTCCTTAATTTCATCCCATTCCTCCTAGTTATAGCCCTACTTACCACCCCTAACAATTCCTACTAAAATGCGGTTACAACCTTGTGCATCGGCGTCATGTCCCATCGTCATCCTGCAGCCAATCCAGGGCTTCTTTTAATCTTTCCTCAACCAAGCCATCCCTCCCACACCCGTAGTCATTCTTGCTGGTTTTCCCTGAATTCCTGTCTCCCTCTTTCTGGTGTGGAGGTGTGCTGGACTCAGTTGAGCATTCTAGGTGTGATCTCATTGGTGCTGGTCTATCACTTCCCTGCTTTGGGACATGAGGTGTCTTTATGCACAGCATCCGTATGGCTTGGGGGGGCGCTCTCACTCTTAGATCTGGTCCCTCCAGAATAAGGTTGAGGTACGCTGGTGGTTCAGTGTACTGCTGCTGCGTAGAGCATTGTATTTGTACAGCCCAGGTGGTACCTGCTGTTTTTAAAGCATTGTCTAGGAGGCGTTCGCCCAGAAAGCAGATTTTGAAGGCGTCGGGGGGCTAACACGTATTAAACGACCATCCCGCATTTACAGTGTGGAATAAGGCACAGAGCAGAGTAACTGTGGGATCATATGGTCGGAGCGGTCACTAAGATTATATCCCCTTGGTTAGGAACGGAGGGCTGGCAGGGATAGGCCATCATAAAATGCCCGGTTTTTAAAGATAATAATAATAGCTAGCTCTTATCTATTGCTTTTCCTCAGTAGATCTCAAAGCACTTTACAAAGCAGGTTAGTATAATTACTCCCATTTTACAGACGGGAAAAATGAGGCACAGAGCGGTGACGTGACTTACCCACGGTCACCCAATGGCAGAGCCAGAAACAGAACCCAGGTCTCCTGAGTCCCAGTCCAGGGTTCTATCCGCTAAGAGGCGACTTCTGTTTGTTAACTCCTGGGTTACAAACAGCACAGGGCTAGAGTGGGTTGGCAGGGCTATTCCAGACAGAAAACTATATAAGCCACGGTGCTGGTAAACAATTACAAGAGAGACTCCTGGGTCTTCTCTGCAAGTTACCTCCGCTTTAACACTGAAACACAATCTTTCTTCAACGGCCCAATCTGCATATGGGCATCTACGCTTTCAAGGAAAAAAGCTGGTTTGAGGTTATAAGCAAACAGCGATGGGAACTGGTGGTTGATCTTATTCTGGAAGGAGTCAAATTGGCCTTTTTTGAAGCGAGCAACCTTGAGCTGTTGGAGACACGTCATCTTGGTGTCCCTGACCCCGTAGAAGGTCAGTGCCTTTTCTGAATACTCCAGGTACACCCCGATCGTGTGAAAGAAGGGCTGCTGGATAACGGATTCGAAGCCACCAAACCAGGCCACGTAGTTCTGTCCATTCCACTGCAGGCAGCAGGATTTCTCATTCCTCCCCAGGCGGCCTCTGTCGTAGGACTCCCGCGGGTTGAAGCCCTCGGCAATGACGCCGATGCTCACCCAGCCGTCGATGATTTCCACCTCCCAGTAGTAGTTGCCTCGGTTCATCAGGTTCTCGCCCAGCACCTGCTCGCAGTTGATGAACCTGGTTGGGCTCTCGGGGTAGCCGATGGGGGTCAATACTCGTTTGGCCCCTTTGGTTCCAAACATCTGGAGGAACTTGTCCGCGGTATCGCTGTCCAAATCGATGATGAAGGCAACTGTGCAGGAGGGGACAAGCAAACACAAAAGAGAGAATCAGAATCGAATTTAGCACAGAGCATCCCTTTCCCCTTTAGCCCCAAGTGGTGAGTTTCAGTGGCTAACGTTAACAGGTCTGTTTCTGTACTATCGCTCTCCAATATCTGGGCAGAGGCCTTTCCCACCCCTGGCCCAATGGCAATGAACACCCACTCAGCTGTTGATTGAAATCAGCAAAGCTAAAGAGATGCGCCTTGGGGTATGTCTACACTACAAGCAAAGGTATGACTGTAGCATGCGGGAGGGGGATACCCGCACTAGCTTTACTCTAGCTAGCACAGGTAACCGTAGTGGCGTAGATGTGATGGCCCAGGCTTCAACACAGGCTAGCTACTAAAGCAGGAGCCTGCTGGGGAGCCTGGTTGCTAGCCCATGCCGCTGTACGAGCTGGAGTAAAGCCAGTGCGGGTATGCACGCGCATGCTACAATCACACCTTCACTTGCAGCGGAGACATGCCCTTAGTACTGTGTCCTACTGGCTGCTGGATGGATCTGGCCTTTGTCTGATCATCAGGAGAATTCCAGAGCAGAGAGCCCTGCCCCCTGAGAACTTCCTGCCACCCCCACCCCTCTAGGAATTCAACCCTGCATACAGAATCAAAAGCATTCCTGCTGATTGCAGCTAAAATACAGTGTCTGATCTGATGGTGCGTGTTAGGGTGATTAGCCACAGACTAAAGCAGCAGATTATTAGCAGGGCCAGAAACAACATGAAAGACTGGCTCTTTCTGTCTAGCAGAGCGGTTAAGAGGCGTATTCTGAATTTACCCCGCAGCAGTTTTATCCATTAAGAGTTTCTTAATGCTGCAGTGAATTGCACAGACTCAGCCCTACCCCCAAATAAATTGACCACATGCCCTTGCACTGAGCAGCTGAGCAGGTACCCACCATGGATACTGACTTTGAAAGAAGCAACAGATTTTTATGGCTGGTATTGTTCTCTAGGGCAGCAGGGGGCTGGAGGGACATGGAGGCAATGGGCCTCCTACCACTGAATACTGTAGTAATTGGCCCCGGAAGGATACTATCTAATCCCAAGGAATTTCTGTCTGGTCAGAAGAGGGTTATGGCCTGGGGCCTTGTTGATGGGTATTTATAAAACAGGAGTTCAGTTGGGACAGAGTACTGGCCACCCTCCCACGCACAGGAATAAGGCACAGTGTAGATCCACGAAGCCCAGGAGATCCAGCTTGCAAGTCAGATGCAGAGGAGACAGGGGGAACAGAAGGTCCTTGAATTTCCAGCTGAATGAGGCATTCATGGATTGGATCCATATCTGCACAGGCCCAACTTCCGTTGGGGAGCATGACCAGCAGCAGCTCCCCCAAGAAGACTGAGGAGTACCTGTGGCACTTTAGAGACTAACACATTTATTTGGGCATAAGCTTTCGTGGGCTAAAACCCACGAAAGTTTATGCCCAAATAAATGTGTTAGTCTCTAAGGTGCCACAAGTACTCCTCATTCTTTTTGCTGATACAGACTAACACTGATACAGACTAACAGCTGATACAGGCTACCACTCTGAAACCTGTCTCCAAGAAGACTGTTGACAGGCACTAGAAAATCGTCCTTGGATTTGTGAGTAAACGCATGTCTGCGTGAACAGGCGAGGAGCAGAAAATAAAGCCAGGGGAAGAAAGCAGAGACCCATGGTAGTGTACAGGGGAGAGATGGCTCACTGGGAGGGATGCAAGCTCAATCTCTCTCCCCTCTCTGCGAGCTTGTGCTCCAGCAGCGCATGGTGGAGCACAGTCTGTCAGATCGAGCCTCTTTCGGTTCTACAGCTGGTCTTTGTGTGGCAGCTTGCCAAGCCCCGCACAGTGCTTTGAATATCAATCACACTGTCTGAATCAGGCAACTTTTCATTGTAACCTCTTCAGTTAGCCTGGCTCCTCCTTGGGCTCTTTTGAGACAGAATTTTGTCCGGCTTTAACAACTTTATCTATTCAGCAACCGAATTAGCCACCTGCCTGAAGCCATCAAACTGGTTCAAAACAGAGCGTGGAATTAGGGTTATTTTGATTACAAGTTATTTGACTCCAGAGGTTCCAAGCTAATTAAACAGAGGATCAAATTCATCTGTGACTGAATTAAGTGGAAAGGGCTTTACGTGCAACAGCGTCTTGGCTAGGTCCCCCATGACTGGTTTGGCAGAGCTACACATAGGCTGAGTTTTTAAGACTTTAGCTGGAAGGCAAATGGACTCCCTTTATTAGCTGTATGGTATTTATCCCGACAACATGGACCGGACCCTGCCAGGGAGCAGACATACAAATGCAGCTGCCAGTACAGAAAGTTTACATGTCATCAGTGTTTTGAGCAGAAAGGGGAAATGCAGCAACTGGCCTTAGCAACAGAAGCCAAAACAAAGGTCAGGGTCTTACATTTCAGGAAATAGTCTCTTGTCTCCAAGCAGGCTGGATTGTTTGATTTGTCCGAAGGTTGGGGCTCAGCGACTGCTGGAAGGAGAGGAATAAAAGGCGTCACCATCGAGCTATATCAACAGCAAAGCCAACAAAGCCCCCGTGAACGGATGCTGTGTGAATCTCAGAGGGAGGTGCAAAGCCCTGGCCCTCACACCTCAGGGTACATCGTGCTGCTCCTGCATTTAAAAATATAAAACCAAGAGCAAAAAAGGAACGCCCCTGGGATTCTACAACATTCATGCAGGGTCCTACGACAGATGGTCCTGCTGCTGCACTGCCAGCCAGCCAACAGGGGGCACTAACAACCCAACCCCATGTTCCTAGGCTGAGGCCAGTACACAGTATACACAATACAAGGCAGATCCCTGTTGGACTGGGCTTAATGGCAGGCAACGGCCACATGTGTTCCGCAGGAGGAGACGGGCGTGGCTGGGAAGGGAATGATTTTGATGGGTCTCCAGGAGAATTACAAACAACGGGGAGTTGAACTAGTCATTAAAAGCTAAAATGGAGCTGCCCGAGTCTGTCTGAAACTCAACCAGCAGCTTCAGCTTCCCCCCTCCCCTGCCAGGACAGAGAGTCCGGGAATGAAGTGGTAGGTCTGTGTTCAGAGGAGACAAGTCTCCCTTTCATGGGACGCCTCTTGGGGGGAGTTCCCCAAACCGCCCGGCCACACCTAGCTCCAAGCCTGTTTGTTGCCTTCTGATTTTCTAGTCGCTGTGGAAACTTCATAAACCCCCCCCGAGCGAGACGTGAGCCCAGACGGCAGAGGCTGACTGAGAGGCTGATTATGCAATTGCACAGTTTCCAAGGCTGTCAGGACGGGTAGGGAGCGCTTCACGGCTGTGCCCTGGGGGTGCTGGCTTCTCACATTCATTTGCTAGTTATAAAAGTTAAACAGGGACTCTCAAGAGCCTCAGTGCTCCTTGTGCACACTGGGGAGCAATATAAACCTCGGCCCACACACCCAGGGGCTAGCCCACGGGGGC